AATTCATTCGTGGCAATGTTCCGTCCATCCCTGCCGGTCTCACCCCCCGAACCCCTTGATTCTGGCACGAAATAATGAAATAACAACGAGTACTCTGGTAACTTTATCCACCAGCAACGTGCTGACCATGTGAGAATGTTGGTTTATACATGTCGTGTTTACCATTTGGATCTTGTCTACATAAATTTGAGCTTTATTAATTGCTCTGATATGACAACGAGTATTTTTGTATCTCTAATTTAATTTCTTAACATATCTGATGCAATGGAAAATTTGTCTTTAAAGATAAACAGGATTTATTTTCCTGTTGTGATATATTCTTTTTTATTTCTATTATTGCAGTTCTATGGGAAATGAAATATCATTAGATATTTTAAGAAGAGAGTAAAAAATAATAGATTGAATGATACAAATTACAAAAGCTGTAAAATTTCATTGGTAAATCATATGTTTTAATATGTTTGTTTGAGTATTGAATATTTTGCAAATTTTAGTCATACTTTCTTTGATTACGTACTGCCTTCTATTCTTTTACTCGTGTCAATGAGTTCTATAGGGTTTGACCTACACAGGAATGCAATCGATAGACTTATGCAACGTCGAGAATCCAACAGATCGTTGCATGCATTATGTAATCTCAGCTTTTAACGCGCGAGCATTACTTGAAATATTGATTTGCCACGTAATCGACTAGGTGTGAATTTCTCGACTTTGCATGCTTAAACAAACGATTGTGAGACGATAAGAGCATTCTCTTTCTTGAAAATTCTTTGACTAATCGAGATTAATGGGGAATCCTTGATATGTCATATCAATATTATAGCAATACTGATATTTGAATAATTATTTTTACAACAAATTTAAGAGAGTGCTCTCGTGATTTCAGTACATAAAAGCAAAAGATCGAATCAGTTTCACTTTAAATCAGATTTGAACTTTTGTTACAGATTTTTTCGAGTAATGAAAGGACACACAATGTTATTGCAAATATTAAATTGATCTATATCCTGTCGTTGTTAAGGAAAAAATATTCAAACTTAAAGTAGAGTATTTTTGTCAAAGATATATGATTTTTCTTTAAAGGACCGCTTTTTAAAATGACACAATTTTTGTTTTCCGAGATAAAACTTTACCACAGGATATTCAAATAATAATTGAATACCAATGGCGTCCATTTCTTTACTCGAAAAAAAATTTGAATTCCATCGAGAAGGACCGATGATGATCTACAGAAAAAAAAAGAAGAAGAAATAACAAGTCCACATAAACATGTCACTAAACTATGGAGAGGCTTTGAGATTCATCTTCTCCAATTGTCTTTCTTCGATGAATCGTTCTATGTATTTATCATGTGCTACATTCTATGAATGATCATGACACCTAATGTGAAAACCGTGCGTACCATCGGTTTAATTTCTTCGTGAATTTGGCCGGAATGTGCCGAATTATTATTCGTTTGCGTTTCATTTTCTCTGATTTAGTATTTTAGCATTCAGCATCTACGTACTGCATTAAAAAAGACATGTCTTTTTAGCAGCTGTGCCTTTGTTAGTACTCTAGGCGGTGGTGCCATGCAAAAGTCGATAAATGGTGTTAATAAAAATTAGAGGGTATTCCAGGAAGAGCGCGATAAAACTTAACATTGTTAATCATGTTGAGAAAGAAGTGTTATATACATTCCTTAAGTTTTCAATATCTATATGATCGTAACAATTAAAAATTATACTATCGTTCAATCTTGTTAATAAATTTTATTGCAATTTATATAGCAATAAATATCGGAAATGAAAGATTAAAAAAAGCTAAAAATATTGTTCCAATATTAACATTCATATTTGCAATCACTTAACACTTTACTCAACATGATTCCCCCAAATCTCACCCTCTACCCAAAACACTTCATGCAATAAAGACTATCAAGTTGTTAATACATCGGGCCACGGTCTAGTGAATTTTAACTCGATAGAAATGTGTAAACAGGAGTGCAAAGTGCAAGTTAAGGTACAAGGGTCTTGTCCCCGTTTCCAAGAGGTCTTTTCAAGCCGTGCGTGTTCCACCTATGTATCCGTAGCAAGCCGTAGATATAATAAAGCTTATTGAAGCACGATTCTTTCCTTCTAAAAGAAAAAAATGAAACAGTCGAGCCGCTCTCACAAAAAAAAATGAAATGTAACACGACGCCACGTAACGTGTAAAAAAGCATACTAACCTGGTGGGGAGAAAAATACCGCCTCAAAAAATCGCATCGTCCTCCCCGTTAACAAAAGCGGAGAGGAAAAAAGTGCGATTCGAGATTTTCCAAAAACTTATTTTTTTTCTTTTTTTTTTACGCTGCTCGCCGATCGCTCAACGAATCGCAATTCACATAGAAACTCACCCCAAAATGTTACGTCTATTCATTGGGTTTCTCTATACGATCTATTACGATCTACTGTTACTGATATTACTGGCTTGTCTAAATTACGCTAATTCGGTTAATTAATAAGACACTGTCGAAGGAAAGAATTATATGGTCATTGGTAAAGCTGGTAAAAGGGTAGGGTTGAGATGGTCGGGTTGAGAGAGAGAGAGAGACAAAAAATGTACATGCCATCTCCTGAAAAAGATAGAAATTTTTGGATCTAGCTGAAATTAATTATCTTGTTAGTCGGAGGAAAATAATACCTTGAATACGCGTGCATAATAAAGCGTGTATTAATTGGAGTGATTGTGTCAATTGCTCTACATCGTCCTTGTATCTCCACTGATCATCTTTTCTCACTCTGTCGTTATTCGTGATAAGTTACGTTGGAAAATGAAAATTGGAAAGCCGAATAACAATCGGAGATAAGTGACGATGTCGGATTTAACAAATGAGTAGTAAAATTAGAACGCGTAAGCGTCGAGAGAAAATTTCCAGCTTTTTCAAGTTTGGCGGCCATATTGAATTCCCATTTATTCTTTCTTTTTCATCTGTCCTCTTTTTTCTTCTCTAAGTCTCATGACTATTTTCCTTTTTTCTTTGGTAAATTCAGATTTGTACTACAAATATTATGATCGAATCGCCGTCGTACACTTCTCTCATATATTTTCTCTTGCGATTACCTATCCAAATTGTTACTTTCTTTTATATATATATATATATCTTTTTAAATTTTGTCGTCTCTTGTTCTTTTTAATCCATATTACGAGGACGCCTGTTACGTCGTAATCAAACTGCGACCTCCACCTCAGCTGCAAGAGTTAATGTCTCCTAAATATCGTTTGTCATCGTGCACAAGGAAAAAAATAAAAAGTTCCTTTGAATTTGGCGCCAAAAAATGAAAAGTCAAAAATGGCGCGAAGAGGCGCCGTGCCACCTTCTGGCGAAACGCAACGAAAAATATTGTTGCATTCCAAAAATACGCTCGCCCGTGAACAATCATAAAAATCGTCTTAAAAACACCACGCTTACAACAGAAAAATGTAGTGATCTTTTCAAGAGTAACATTTCTTGAAGAGGAAAAGATTTGTACGTTTACAAAAATGAAAAAAGTAGTAGAAAAAGTATTAGCAAAAAGTCGTTCGTTAAGTCACTTGATTTTATTGGAAATTTTATATGTATACAGTGTACAGCAGCTTTCTCGTGCTCATTACAAGCAATTCATCGTACTTAATCCGTCGCGTTGGCCACTGTTTCAAGATGGTTTCAATCGTGTTTCTTTTTCCAAGTTCTCGACGAGAAACGTGGAAAGTCGTGACATTCTCTCGACGATCGTTCGAACACATCGATGAAGAGAGACCGGGTACGTGTGTGCACGTGGGCGTGCATGTATGAGATCGTTGCTTTCGTTTGGCGTGTCAATGAGGAAATGGGTTAATATATGTGGCAAGGGTAAGTGTTAGAATGTTAAATATACTGTGCATGATTCAAACCAATTACTGTATACTTGGATCTGATTTCTGTGTGCATTTAACACGCTTGTACACTATAGACCAAAAGTGTGAAACTGAATAATTTAGAAGCTTTACAGGAAATAGGATTTGAATGATAATATATCAGGTACTTTGTATTCGTATTCAACGAATTCTTAATCAGATAATCCTAATAGATGAGAAACAGTGTGTAGAAGCTATCTTGAAATGGAATTCTTCGTGGAAGAATTTAAGGAATTTAAAAATTGGTTATACATAATACTTTTGGCTAATAGAGTACTGTTTAAAATGAAGTAAAACATTAGTTAATCGTTTGCATATATTAATTAAAATTCTAAGACGGTTAATATTACCTCGTATAACGTTAAGCATGTGTCAAGTGTTAGTTCTTAATGTCACAATTAACTTCTTGAGCTGTGGTAGTTGCAATTGTGAAGCTATGTAGCACACTCGATATAAAAAGTCAAACATCTTTCCTTCACGTACAAAAACATATGTATCTGTATCACCAATAGTTATCAAAAATAAAACACTACGGAATTTTGATTCTCACCAATATTACACTTCCACTGTACACTTCCAAGCTCAAGAAACTAATCGATAATAACAGTTATTAGTTGCGTATCGGTAGTAGGTTAAACGATTGGTAGGTTAGCTTCGCGCAAGATGTCAGTGTCCTTCCTTCGTATACAGTGACGAAGTCGTACTCGGGTGGTAAGCGTGTTTCGTTGTTTAGTTTCTCTAGTCTGCCAGTGTCGTGCAATTTGTTGTCGCCTAAGGTCGCTCAAATCGACGATGCGATTGAGTAAAAGCCACTTGTTGGGTCTAGTGCCTGGAAAGAAATTAGAATCAGAGCTGCATGCGATTCATGTATTCCCCGCTAGAGGACAGTAGCTTAGTCGGAGATTTTTATCGTTTATCTGGATAACGACGAGCAACGTGGGTGATGATAGTGATGGTGGTTTCGTTTTCTCGGACGACACAAGATGTGAAGAACAAAACGTATGAGCGAGTAAGAGATCAGTGAGCCGAGTGATCGATGATCGATGAACGGTGATCCATGATGCCTGGCCACGTTTCTGTCAGTCGTCTGGTCGTAGATCGTCGCCATTTCCATCCATCGACACTTCCATGTTGACCACATTGAACAACATGAGACACATCCACCGATGTTTAACGGATCATTGATTAATAATATTAATTATATTAATCTAGTTGTTAATTCATTGCTGTTTCGTAGAGCTTGCTACAGCTTAGTACGTCGTCACTTGCTACATTTAGTTTGTTTAAATGTGGTTTAGATTTGTCATTTTTAAAACAGAGATGGGCACTATTTTCTGCGAGTATTTACATCTTTACGTTTATTATTGCTATTGTTACCGAGATTTCTGGATTACCTATAGTCTGACCAAAATTAATCAATCGTTCAAGGCCATTAAGAATTAATACCCATTGCACTGTTTTCTGTTATTACAGTATAATGGCATACGAGTAATTAGTAAACATTTCTTCTTTTAAATTTATAAATTATTAAGATTTAAGCTGCCACACTAATTGTATTTACATATTTACAGGGAACTTTTATTTTGTCCCGGTTATAGTAGTATTGCTGCATGATGCCACGTTAGTACTGAATCGTGTTATTTACGATGGAGGAAGCAACCTTGAACGGCCAATTGATTTTCGACAGACTATAGCAAACCGATTCGTCGCACGTACTCCCTACCAATTGCACCAGAATTGTTATTTTTTTTTAATTCACGTTGGAAAACACACGTGCTGTATTTAGTTATGAAGTGCTATAGCGCGGTTGCGTTGCCGATTAAATGTCACAGAAATTACTAATACCACAAAACATCATCGATGAGATGCTATCTATGCACCAGTCATTCGTAAGTCTCTAACAAACATTTTTCTAATATCACGATCGAGTTAATCGTTAATTGGTTACCAAAATTATTTCTAGCCCATCTCTGATGCACAGCTAATTAATTAATAGAACACCAGCATACACTAATGGAGCGTCGATCACCAGTGGATGTCAAGCTGCTCCTGATTCACAGCGAATTTTTTGTTTTATCAAGACAGAAAAAGGTGATTACGTATATTATTTCGAAGGTGTGAGAGAAAAAGAAAAATCGTCCAGTTCGACGAGTAATATAGTCGCGAGGCAGACAAGTCTTGGGGCATATTTAAACATAATTATATATATTTATACGTATGTATAGATGCATGTTTTCATATAGCGACATTATAAGTATAATAACTTAGATACAAAGTGTACGGAGTAGAGTAAATTAGTATTACACATATTATGGCGTGGTTCTGTGTTCGTGAAGAGAAAAGGTATAGAGACACGGATTGTCGACAAAATATGAACTCGAAGTGAACTAATACGAACGGAAGAATTAAAAACACGTACGTGTCCAAGAGTGCATACACATTTCACACGTCGGATGGGGATGACAGATAGTAATACAAAGGTATTTTCTTTTTTTTTTTAAAGATGTGGGGCGGAGCATCCCATGTATTTTCCGTTTTCTAAATTTGGTTTCCTCATTTTTTCTTTCTTTTTTTTTTAGTCACGATTGAGTGCAGGCAAAGGTGGAGGGCTTTATTTAAAGGATACGAGACGGATCCTCCGAAATGGCGCTTCCGGCTTCTGAAAAAGGCTTTGGAGGGAAAATTCGCGAGTCGCTAAATATTTACACCTCCGACAAAGTATGTCTTTTTAGCCTTTCTTTTTTGTTTATTTTTAACCATGCAAACAACCTCTTATCTCTTTCTTTTGTTCAACAGGCAGAAGCCAAAAGCGCCTGGTTACAAATTAATGATAAGAACTTAAATTATTAACTAGGAAGAAAACCCCGAGAACGAGCAGTTATAATTAATTAATTAATTAATTAATTGGATTCAACGGTACAGCGACGATGATGCTTTCGTTCCACATTCTCATGCGTTTTTTTCGTTCATTCTCTTTATCGTTCTCACTCAGGTCTTTTTTGCTTTCATTCTTGTTTTTTTTTTTTTTTTTTTT